AATGGCTGGTGGGTTTGACCTTGCAGTTGGTAGTCCAAACCTAGATACAGATCATCCAAGTTTTCCTTTTATATGCACTGAAGACATTATCTATTTTTATTCCTAGAAGTTCCCAGGAAGCTATTGGTGATTGTCTATGGGGAGCAGGACAGATCCTTGGCTCACAGTAGCAACCACTAACCGAGTAGCATCAGAAGGCAGTCTAATGAAGAGCTCTGCTTTCTGAGTTGGTAACTGAGTGTGTGGCTTTAGGAAGCCAATTAAGTCTCTGAGTCTCAGTCATCTTAGTTATATGCAGAGGAGATTAGAGTAAAAACTCTCTGAATTATTTTCATCATCAGTTTCAGAGGAGCTTTGGTGAGACGATCTGGACTTTGCTCAATAAAGGTCTCCAATGAAAATTCTACTGGGTGGGTAATATTAACCAAGGGATTTTGCCTACTCAGAGACCAGGAGCCCTAGAGAAGACTTTATTAGTTTTTCCAACCTAGAACATCTTGAGTAATGATTTATTTCAGAAGATTATCTAGCTTCACGCTGAATTGCAGAGACTTGACTGCCTTTGAAATCCATCTGGTCCAATTCCTTGTTCTAAGGCAGAATCAAACTACATTGGATTTGCTGACTTAAAGGTAGGTGACCAGTAGGAAGATGCAGTGTGACTAGAAGAAAGGTGCAGCGTTTCTAAAGAGCTACAGGACCTTGGGTAAATCAATTCCTCTCTTGAGTCACAAGTGTCCATTTGTAAAACGAGGTGGTTAGGTTCTGAAAGTCTTTTAAAATATTGGAATTCTGTGTAGTCCCATTCTTGGGAATTAGCAAGTGGGAGTGAATGATTGGGTGGGAAGTGCATTACTTCACTCTGAGATCAATCATTGCAATCCACCAAACTTTCATATATTTTCTAGTCATTATTAATATTTTTCATTATGCAGAGTCCAGCAGGTAATTTGATGTAGAGTCTTCCTGTGACTTTTACATACTGGTCACCATTTCTTTCTGTGCTTCTAGGTGAGTCAGTCTTGTAGGAAGACAGAAATTTGCTGCCAGTTAAGTGGGAGAGATAGTGGGAATGGGATGGGAGAGAATAAGCAGAGAAAGGAATAAATGCAGATGACACAGAGGTGAGAGAAAAACAGAGAGGCAGGCTGTCAGGTATTCCTCCTCTAAGGACAAAACCTAGAAACACTGGATCCTACAATCTCTCTTATTGATCCAAGTATGCATTTCCTTAATCACTCTAATGGATAAAACCTGAATTCAAACATGATGAAATATGTACTGGTGTAAGTAAATAAATATAAGTTGGACTTTTAATGAAAGGCCTACTCATTTATAATTCTCCTTTACATGCTATGTTCCTGGAAATAATAGAAGGCAGTGGTTAAAGAGGCTCTGTATTTAGGTTGCGTTAATTCAAATTCTCACCCCACCACTGTGTAACCATAGGCAAGCTGTTAGTTATCTAGTGCCGCTAGAGTAGAAATACCACCAGTCAATGGCTTTCACAACCAGAAATTTACTGTCTCCCAGTTTAGGAGGCTAGAAGTGCAAATTCAGAGTGTTGGCTCTTAGGAAAGGCCTTTTCTTTGGCAGCCCTGGGAAAGGTCCTTGTATCCTTTCAGTAGCTGTAGACCAGGATTCTTTGGAGACCTTGGCATCAATCTTCCCCTGGATCTCGGAGATTCACAGTGCAGGCATACCAGGTCCAAATGATGCACTCCACTCCTGGCTCTTTAATTTGGTGGCAATAGGTCCCTCTTTCTTTGCTTAAGTCTCTCTCCTTTGATCTATTGTAAGATAAAAGGTAATGCATGTCACACCCTTGGAAATCTTCCTTGGATCATGGTGGTGATAAATTAAGGGTAGTGTACCCATCATTAATACTCTTATTGGTTCATTACATCAAATCACATCATGGGGGATAGCTGCATCTCAACTACTGAACCACTGAGAATTCCTGGTCCAGTGAAGTTTGCATAAAACCTTTACTATCGCACAAGTTAATTAGCTTCTCTGTGTTTCTCTTTCCTCATACATAAAACAGGGGTGATAAGAATAAAATCCATGTCACAGGCTTGCTGAGAAAATTAAATGAATTGCTGCATTTAGGGTACTTATAAGGAGTTCTAGTGTGGCACTGTGGGTTAAAGCACCAGACTGCAAAGGCGTTTGAACTGCAAGGTCAGCAGTTCAAGCTCACCAGCCTCAAGCTCCTCAGAAACCCTACATGGGGTCACTATGGGTTGGAATCGACTCAACAACACTTCACAACAACAACAGGGTACTTATAAAGTCCCTGGCACATAGATATTATTGTTACACAAAATGCAATTAATTAAAATTTAAGGAGAATATTAAGCAGGTAATTTAGGAAACTAAGATAACATATTGTTAGTAGAAGATACCGATACATCTATTATAATTTCAAAAACATTTTGCTGTAAAAAAGTATGACAAAGTCTTGTAGGAACACAAATCCAACCCAACCCCACTGCTGTCCAGTCGACTCTGACTCATAGAGACCCTATAGGACAGAGAAGAACTGCCCGTTAGAGTTTCTGAGGCGAAAGTCTTTATGGAAGGTGACCGCCACATCTCTCTCCAATGGAGCAGCTGGTGGGTTCAGGCTGCTGGGTCTCAATCACCAGCCTTAGCAGGCCAGTACTTAGCCCCCTATACCATCAAGGCTCCTTGCAAGAGCACAAGGAGGGAGGATAATATTTCAATAGTAACAAGGTTCTTTGGCATTCTAGAAAGAAGGAATATAAACACAGAAGAGGTTGAGAAGACACCTTGGTTATGACATAATTGTATGGTGTTCATTTGGCAATAAGTAAGGCTGAAAAGATAGGCAGTATTTGGTTCAAGAAGGATTATGCTAAGATTATGAGCATTTATGCTGTGTGAAATGGGGCCAATTTTGCTAGATTTTAAGAAGAGAAATAACATGATCAGATCTGAATTTAAGAAAAATCACCAGTCTTTTTCTAGTGTTCAGAGAAAAGAGAGACGCATGTAGACTAGAATTTAAAAAACCTGCTTTACTGAACAAGCAAGACTGGGATTAGGTTTGAAAGGTGGGTGGGTAAGGTTGAAAGGGAAGGGACAAGGAAAGGTTGTTTCTCATGAAGGGAGGCTCAGCAGTGGAAATTAACAGTCTTATGGGTTGAGAGAAGATTCTGAGTAGAACAGAGGTGAATGGAAGTTTATTGAGTAAGAGGGTAACTATTGAGGTGTTAGTTGTTTTACCATGCCTTCAAGTCAGATCCCTCTCATAGTGACCCTAGCACAACAGGACAAAACATGGCCCAGTCCTGCACCATCCTTACAATTGTTGCTATGTTTGAACCCAGTGCATTTGCCACTGTGTCAAGCCATCTGGTTGGGGGTCTTCCTTTTTTCATTGATCTTCTACCTTGCCAAGCATGATGTCCTTTCCCAGGGGCTGGTCCTAATATGTTCAACGTATGTGAGACAAATTCTTACCACCCTTGTTTCCAAAGAGCATTCTGGCTACATTTTCCCAAGAATAATTGGTTTGTTCTTCTCTCAGCCTATGGTACTTTCAAAATTCTTTGCCAACACCATAATTCGAATGCATTCATTCAGATTAAAAAACAAAGTTCATTATATTTTTATGAAGTTCTAGACATTGATAAGCATAGTAATTGGTCTATACAGTTTCAAACTACAAATGCTCATTCTATGCAATTATAATCTATATACATTTGATAGCATCAGGATGAAAAATTGCATACAATCTGACAAATTGCTCATCTGACAAATGGGTAAAGTGGAAATTAAACTATATTGGTCACAGTAACATATACACTGTGTGATCTCTGATAAATTGCTTATTTTCTGAGCCATAAATGGCAATGGAATTAGAAAAGATGCATATGTACAGTAGCTAGCATAGTACATATAACATAGTAAACAATCAAAGGTAGTGCCTTTTGCTCCTATCCATAGAGTAACAACCCATGGTTAATGAGTTGATTCTAACTCATAGCCACCCTATATGAAAATATACAAGTGTTCCTTAGGGTTTCCAAAACAGTAAATCTCATGGGCTCCTTTAGAGTTATAAGCTACTGGATATTAAAAGTCTACTATCTATCAAGCTCTGTCTTAGGTGGTGTGGAAAAGACAAGGAAAACATGAAAAACTGCATCTGTTATTCTCAAGCAGTGAAGTGATCTGAGGAGAGAAGGGTTTAGGAAACACATTTTCTGATTGTAGCATGGATGAAGATGGGGTGGGAGCAACTGTAGATGGATGAGAGGTTTTGGCTTTGTTAATTCAGACAATAGTCAACTGCGTGGGAGGCTGTGGCGGCAGGTAGGAATGGATAGAAAAGGGCCCACAGGAGAAATGGCTGAAAGGTAAAATTAATGTAATGTGGTGATTGACTGGGTATGAGAGGCAAAAGGGAGGAACAAATAAAATATGAAGTTGAAGTTAAATGGTGTCATTAATTCATCATCTAGGTCAGAAAAACTGGCTCTAAGTCTCAGAATTTACTACTCTGTGTGATCTTGGATGACAATCAATTTAAAAGTTTTAATCTGTACACTGTTGTTAGGTTTTCAGTATTCAATGCTGAATGCTATATATTGGCTAAAGGAATGATAGATGTGTATTTTAAACCATCTAATAATTAGGGGAAAAAACGAAAGAATATTCTCTTCTAAGAAAAGAATGGAGTCCTTTGATGGTACAAAGGATTAACACATTCATCTGTGAATAGAAAGGTTGCCAGTTCAAGTCCTAGAGATTTCTTAAAGAAAGGTTTATTGATCTGCTTTTGAAAATCCAGCCATTGAAAACCCAGTGGGGCACATTTACTCTGACACACATGAAATTGCCTTGAATTGAGATAGACAATTGCTTCTTATTTTTTTGTTGTTAAAATGTTATAGGTGAGTTGAATTGGTATTACAAATTTTGTTTGTTTTATTGCAGCCCTCTCACTCCCTGGCATCCAAAAGACCTGAATGGGATCCACAACCAGTACAAATAACGTGACTGAATTAATTATCACTGGCCTTTTTCAGGATACAGAGGTGCAGAGAGCATGCTTTGTAGTGTTTCTGCCTGTGTACCTGGCCACATTGGTGGGCAATGGCCTCATAGTGTTGACAGTTAATGTGAGTAAGAGTCTGAATTCCCCCATGTACTTCTTCCTTAACTACCTGTCCCTGGTGGAGATCAGTTACTCCTCTACTGTTGTCCCTAAATTCATCACTGACTTACTCACCAAGATTAAAACTATCTCCCTGGAGGGTTGTCTGACTCAGATATTCTTCTTCCACTTCTTTGGTTTGACAGAGATTCTCTTGCTCACAGTGATGGCTTATGACCGCTACGTGGCCATCTGCAAACCCCTGCACTACACAACCATCATGAGCCGACCTGTGTGTCACCTTCTAGTGGCTATTTCCTGGCTGGGGGGCATAATTCACTCTGTAATTCAGATCCTTGTCACTGTCCAATTGCCCTTCTGTGGCCCCAATGTAATTGACCACTACTTCTGTGACCTCCATCCCCTATTCAAGATTGCCTGCACAGACACCTTTGTGGATGGTGTTATTATTTTGGCTATCAGTGGCTTAATCTCTGTTATATCCTTCCTCATCTTAGTATCTTCTTATATTGTCATCTTGGTCAACTTGAGGAACCATTCTGCTGAGGGGAGGCGCAAAGCCCTCTCTACCTGTGCCTCTCACATCACGGTGGTCATCTTGTTCTTTGGGCCTGCTATCTTCCTCTACATGAGGCCCTCTTCCACCTTCACTGCAGATAAACTTGTCGCTGTGTTCTACACGGTCATCACCCCCATGCTGAACCCCATCATCTACACACTCAGAAATGCAGAGGTGAAAAATGCTATGAGAAGGTTGTGGGGCAAGAAAGTGAACTCAGGAGTGGAGTGAAAATGAAAACAAAGCAAAATAAAAAAACATCCCATGAACAGGTTGATCAAATAAGTGATCTAATTTTAATCAGCCACAAAATAATGGAGAAAAAGTTAATCCATTTATATTTTCTGTTGTATATTTGGTGAGCTACTTTTACTTCCTGGTACCAATGGTAGACTTCTCCTAGTTGTCACAATTTTGGAGAATGTGAAATATTGGGCTAGTTTCCTTCTCTTCAGGAGTCTACAGTGCAAAGTTAATAGGTTTTAGGGAGAGATCACTTAGACTAGATCCCCACTCCGTTGTCTGTTAACTGAAATCTTAGATACATTTACTTCATGTCTTTGTGTTAGCATGTGGAACTACTGTGGTACTTGGAGACACAGTGTCATGTTTTCCTTTGTCTCTCTTTACTTTTGGGATCTTGAGGAAATGCTTCTACTTCATCTGGTGTTCCTATCCCATTAAACCTGAAATCAATGTCTGGAATTCCACAATAGAAACTTCGTCTCATGGGTCAAGGGCATTGCTAGTTGCAATTGTCTCTGGAAAGCAAAGTATAATAAAACTTTTATTAGATATTGCTATAGTAATCTCAACTATTCTATAAAGCCTAAATTCCATGCACGGAGGTAAGGAATACCATGCCATTAGAACAACATTGACTTATAAATGCATGTATGGCACAACCTGATGAAAAATGATTTAATCGAAATTTAGCCTGTCACTTGTTTTTGTATGGCCTATAGACTAAGAATGGCTTTTATATTTCTAAATGGTTGGGAAAAAAAAATAAAAAAGAATAACATTTTGTGACATGTGAAAGTTATGTGAAATTCAAATTACAGTGTCCATAAATAAAGTTACTTGGACTGGGACCATCCCCATTATTTTTCTTGTTATCCGTGGCTGCTTTCTGCTACAGTGGCTTAAGGAGTTGTCACAGAGACGGTAAGGACACAAAATCTAAACTGTTTACTATCTGAACAACAGAAAAAGGTTATTGATCCCTGACTTATGCCACAATGTAATTTATACTTAGTCAAAAAGCAAGGATACTGAAGATCCTCTCATGACTGCAAGATGGCTCCAGCACATGTTTACATGAGGGGAGAGAAGGAATCTTTTATTTTATTTTTTGTTGGGAACTATTTCCCAGAAACTCTCTAGCGCAATCCTTTTATTCTTGTCACATTGTAGGATAAGCATTGGATTGCTAACCATAAGTTTGGGTGGTTCAAACCTACCAGCCACTCCTTGGAAACCATATACAAGGTTGCTATGAGTTGGAACTGACTTGATAGCACTCAACAACAGAACTCTCTTTAGATACAAAGAGGGCTGGAAAAACGAGTATTGGAAAGTGGAACGTTGTTGTTATTAGGTGCCATCAAGTCTGTTCTGACCCATATCAACCCTTCACACAGCAGAATGAAACACCATCAGGTCCTGCGCCAATTTCACAATTATTGTTATGCTTAAGCCCATCGCTGTTGCCACTGGGCCAGTCCATCTCGCTGGGGGTCTCCCTCTTATTCACTGACCATCCACTTTACCAAGCATGATGTCCTTCTTCAGGGACTGGTCCCTCCTGATAATACGAGAGATGAATCTGGCCATTTTGGCTTCTAAGGATCATTCTGGCTGTATTTCTTCCAATACAGATTTGTTTGTTCTTCTGGAAGTCCATGGTACCTACAGTATTTTCCTCCAACACCACAACTCAAATGTATCAATTCTTCTACGGTCTTCCTTATTCATTGACCAACTTTCACATGCATATGAGGCTATTGAAAATACTATGGCTTGATTCAGGCACATCTCAGGCCTCAAACTGATATCTTTGCTCTTGAAGGGTAAAGGATTCAATTGTGTCTTCCAAAAAGACACGTTGCAATACGAACCTCTGCACCAATGAATGTGACCTTGCTTAGGGAAATAGGGATTATCTTTCCAGTTGTTATCAGTTAAACACTCACACTGGGGTAGGGTGGATCCTAATACTAATCCCTTTTGAATGACACTTTATTAAAGAGAAAGACAGACACAGAAATGGAGTCACATGCAGGGGGAAGACACGAAATGACAGGAATAGTCTGGGCCTATATAGAGTCACTATGAATTGGAACCAACTCGAGGGCACTTAACAACAACAACCAGAAACTGAAGGAGTCAAGGTAGGGTCTTGCCTTAAGTCAACAGGGACAGACGATAACCCTGAACTTAGACTTCTAGGCTTCAGTACTATGGAAACAAATATCTGTATTTAAGGCCCTCTACTTTAATGTGCCAGACTTCAAAGTCGTTTGAACTATAAGGTTGATGGTTCAAGCTCACCAGTCGCTCCCTGGAAATCCTATGCAGGGTTGCTATGGGTCGGAACTGACTCAATGGCACTTGAAAACAATAACAACTTTGTAGTATTTTGTTATGGCAGTCTAGGAAACTATGATAACTGGTCACAATTTTCCCCAGGCTGTGCACATTGCTGCTTAAACAACACCATGAAGGAAGGAGTGTCTGCCACAGGGAGTATGGATGGAAGTAATTTCTCAGTGTGTCAGGTCCCTGGGCATAGTGAAATAGCTAAGAGATTGGATTTTGGTGTCAGACTGACTGAAACTCAGCTCTGGACTCAGCCAGTGACTAAGCTCTCTTGATTCATGGGAGTTCAAGAATCATTTTCTTTAATATTCTTTGCTGGAGTAGACCCTGCTTTAATTTCTCTCTAGAAGATAAAAATGGGGGCCATAGAATGTGAATGTCTGAGAGCTGTGAAAAGGAATTAAATTATCCTTGGAATCCTTGAAGGCAAGGAACGGGTTTTTACACACATGTATATATATCATGAGAATGTATAGAAGAATACTGATCAAAGGGGGGGAAATACAGAACAGCACTTAAAGAAGCTTGAAAAAAATGAAAGCTATTATTAACTAAGGTTCCCTGCCTGATAGTACTGTGGGTTAGGTAGGCTTCTAACCACAAAGTTGGCCGTTCAAACTCACCAGCCTCTCCACTGGAGAAAGATGAGACTGTTTGCTCTCATAAAGATTTACAGACTCACTAAGAGTCACAACCGACTCAATTGCAGTGGGTTTTATTATTAACTCAAATTTCCTGGTATTTATTCAGATTTCTCTCTACTTTCTCTTTCCTCCTTCTCCTCTTGCCCAAGAGAGTGACAGTAGGTCAAAACAAAACAAAAAACCAACTTCTTCCTTTCTCTAGTACCTTCCCAAATAAAACCTTCAAAGTGGGATCATGGAATAAAGATGGTTAAGGAGCTCTGGTAGCATAGTGGTTACGAATTGAGCTGCGAACCGTAAGGTCAGCAGTTCGAAACTACCAGCGGTTCCGTGGGAGAAAGATGAGGTATTCTGCTCCCGTAAAGATTTACAGCCTCAGAAACCCTGTACAGGGTCGCTATGAGTTGGAATCGACTCCATGGCACACAGCCACCACCACCAAGGATGTAAAACCCTAGGTGGTGAAATGATGGTATGTATCCTAACAAGATAGAGTTGTATACTCTAACATAGAGCTCTAAAAAGATAAATCTGCCAAAGACAAAAATCATAGCATGATAGAGACCCCGAGAGACCTATTGCCAGAGCTCAAAGTCACATGATGAGGGTCTTTTCCCCACTACTCAGCTGGGACCACTATTCAGTGGAGTCCCAGAATGTGAGTACTGAAAGGGATTTTGTTGTTAAGTGCTGTCAAGTTGGTTCCGACTCATCAGCAGCCCTGTGTAGGTTTTTTTGTTGTTGTTGTTGGTTTTAAAGTTTAAAGTTTATTGTGAATTGAGTGATAGTTAATAAGGGAGAACATCAGTTTTACATTAATTGTTTCATTACAATGATTACAATCTTCTCCGTGCATCACCATTCAACAATATTTGCTTCTATTCCCTCCGTTTGTTTGTTTTTTGAAAGGGGGTGGAACATAAAAACACTTGGGAATATATAATCATTTAAACAACCAGAGGATACATTCTGCAAGCCTGCCTCCTGGCCACCGGCACCTGGTTGCCAGCACACAGCCTTTCTCTTTCCAGGAGACTAGAGTCCTCAACTGCTTTCTCTCTCCATACCCTCATCTCTTTCTTCATCTCTGGTGTCGCTGTTTCTCTGGATAGGGTCCCAAATTCTGCTCATGCTCTTCTTCCTGGATAGTTCTAGGGTTCTGTGTTACAGGACTGTAAGATTAACTGAGTAGTTAATATTTTTGTTACAAAACTTCTACCTTTACAGTTGTGACAGTTGCAATTAGTCATGATAACAATTACTCACTATTGAATCATAAGAATTTTATCCCC